CTCCCTCCCTCCCTCCCTCCCTCCCTCCTACCCAGGCTGGCCTTTAACTTAGAAATTTTCCAACCTCAGCTCTCTGAAGTGCTAGGATTACAAGCATGTCCTACCATGTCTGGTTTCTTTTTAGGCAATTTCTTTAACCTTGAATAAACACTAAAGAAGCTGTGTGAGCAGACACCCTTATCTTATTGAATAGAACACTGAAGGCTAACACCTGAAATCCTATTCTCAGTCTTTACCTTCTTCAGTGGGAAGGTGCTGGTCCCCGGTTTTTATGGTTTGTATTTGTCTCCCCAAAGCCTAATGCAGCCACTGATGTGTAGTTCTATAGTTTGTGATTAATTCATGATCTAAGGCTGGGATTATGGGTCTGAGTACTGCTGAGATTATGGGCGTGAGTGCTACCCCCAGCCTGGAGCAGACAGCCTGAATGTAACATAAGAGAGACAGACTTGCTCTCTGTTGCCATTGTTGCCACGGCTCCTGCCCATTTGCTCTTACTCTTTGCCACCATGGACCGCTGCCCTCTACCATGTGCCAGTTTGCCTTGGAGCCAGCCAAGTATAGACTGAAACCTCCACTAACTATGAGCTAAACAAATCTTTCCTTCCTTCATTTTGGGTGTTGGGTATTTGTACCAGCAACGAGAGAACAGTAACTGAGACACTGTACAATATATGCACTTCCCAAGAGGGCCTCTGGGAGCCAGGAGGCCAAAAGAGCTTGGCTGTATCACTGGCAGAGCAAGCCCTGGCTCAGTTATTCCACCTGTGCAGGGAGGTGGCCCATAGCACCTTTGGGCTAAGGGTCTGGTCATTCTTATTGCTACTGCTTCTGAGACAGTGTCTTGCTGTGCCATCAGGCTGGGCATGAATTGACTATGTAGCCTGGGTTGGCACTGAACTTGCAGTGACTCTCCTGCCTCAGCCTCCCAAGTGCTGGGACTACAGGTATGCATCACTGCACCTGACAGTCTGGTCATTTTTATAAGGCCTACACAGAGTATCAGGGCCATGCTGGGAGGCATGTAAGAAATGGAACTAGGAGTCCAGATGACAGTTTGACTCTTGTGGAAGAGTCAGAAATGTGGATAATTTGTATAGGGACACATTCTCTGCAAATAGAAAATTATCTTTGAAGTAGTGATCAGTACTATTCTCATTAATCTCAAGCTCCCTGTTACTTGTTGACTGACTATAATCATGGCCTCTGCACATACTACAGAGTCAAGTGCACACATCTGATGTGCCACGGTGCCCAATTCTGCCCAGCAACACAGACTCTAAAGGATGGTTCTACACTTCCACCTAGCAGTCTCTTGGTGTGAGGGACCCTGAAACACTCTACTCAGGGACAGCTCTGTGAAGCCCTCACCCTCCAGCTCAGTTGGCTCCCATGCCTGCCTACTTTGCTGTTCTGCACAGCCCATGTGCCCACGGGCTCCCACAAGTTCCCACATTATAACACATGAGAAGTAACATGATTTTAATTCATATTTCTCATGAGAAGTGAACTCTCACAGAGCTGCCACAGTGCTGGCGTATGGTAATGAATCATTTTATGCAGTGTTCAACGCATGAGCTGAGAACATCTTAGGCTGCTCTCCTGTAGCAAGTGGAAGGTCATTTCAAAACTGGATTGTATAGGCCAGTAAGACAACTCAGAGAACTGAAGCTCTTGCTTAGGTAAGCACAGGGACCCTGGTTCAATCACTGGTACCACATGCCACACCAGCCCTGCCTCCAGGGTGGGCTGAGCTGGCCACAGAGTCTGGGCATAGTGACGTGCATCTGTAATTCCAGCGCTGGGGAGGCTGAAAACAGGAGGATCACTATGAGTATGAGGTGCGTAGTGAGACCCTGTAAAAACCAAATGCACTAAAAAAACAAAAAACTGGATTGTCTGCCTTAAAGCACCACCTAGTGGTGAGGAGTTTCATCTTAGAACTTGGGGTAATTATTATTATTTTTTTATTTGCAGATCCGGGGATTGAACTCAGGCCCTTGGGCTTGCCAGACAAGCACTTATTCTACTGAGACATCTCCCTGGCCTATGGGGTAATATTTAACCTATCAGGACCCACTGTAAGAAAGGAAGAGATTAAATGTTTACACATATTAAAAGTCCTCTCGTCTTAAAAAGGAGAAAGGTTGAAAGGTGCCAAGCCCATATAATTTGCAAACAACCAACTACACTAAAAACCAAGTTCATCTGTGAATATCTATTACCTGAGAATGGGAATGAGACAGTGTAAAGGATGGCAGCTAAAGGACACACTAGCTAGAAACACCAGTCATCCAAGTCTCTATGGCAACTCTGAATAAACACTGTCATCACTGCTGTACCACATGCTATGACCACTTCTGAATACAAGTGGAAGTAAAAAAATATCTAGGCTGGGTGCAGTGGCCTGTAATCTTATGATGTGTATAGTCCCAACTCAAATACGCAATACCCAGAATCAAAATAAAAAGCATGTAGGCTGAGCACTAGGGGGCTTGCCTAGCATGCCAGAGGACATGTGTTCAATCCTCGTACTACATACACACAGGACATTTGGTTGGCTGTGATGGGAAAGACTGACGCACCATACAGCATCAAGTCTCACCTGGGTCCAGACACATGAACTTGCAGCACTCCTTAGGCTCCTTTCGGTACTGCTGACAGCCCTGGGGACCCTCACAGAGGGCGGCCACACACATCTCAGGCTCCCCTCCATGACAGGTGCAGCTCAAGCATGGATCATCCCCTTTGGGGGTGAAATAGAAGCCTTCATCCACCACGTTGTCCTTGATGTCGACACACGTTTGACCTGTAACAAGCACATGTGTGCACAGATGTATGCATTACCACCAAAGGGAACCCTGGTCCATGCCACTGGGCCTTGGGCAACAGAGCAAGAAAGAGCTTGGGAAGATTATGTCTTACCTGTATGCCACAACACTGTGTATGTGTGTGTGTGTGTGAGGGGGTTGTCTAACTGCAGCAGTGCTATGTGTGTGGGCTTGTCTAACAGCAGTAGCGATCTACAACATGAGAACAAGCCACACCCAACCAAGATAAATAGTTTATAGGATGTAGAGGGCCAAAACAAAAAATGCCAGATTCTAAGGTGAAGGTCCCTACAGAGGCTTTTGGTTTTAAGTTGTCTAGTTTGTTTATAAATTTCCTCAATTTTAAGAGACAGTAGTACACGTGCCTGTAAGCACAGCACTGTAGGGCACTAATGCAGGAAGCGCCTAAGTTCAAATCCAGCCTGGCCAATTTAATGACTTAGCAAGATCCTATCTCAGAATAATAAAAAATAAGGGGCTAGGATATTGCCCAATGCAAAAACCTTAGATTCAACCCTTAGTAAAGAAAGAAAGAAAGAAAGAAAGAAAGGGGGGGAGGAGGGAGGGAAGGGAGGGGAGGAGGGGGAAGAGGGAAGGGGGGGGAAAGGCAAACCATAGAAGGAAAAAAGATAAACTGGACTTTATCAGATACACTGGGCAAGTAAACTACTAGTAAATATGAAGCCTGGGATACACTGTGTAACCACAGTTCCAACAGACCTTATTCCCAAACCAACACCCACACCCAAGACACACCTCCTTGCACTGAAAGCAGAGAAGAAAGCCATTTGCAACAAGAACCAAACCACTGATTTCAGTCTCCTCTATCCCATATAAAATGTCTACATTTCAATGAAAAGTTAAAATTTTTTTTTTTATTTTATTTTTTTTTATTTTTTCTATTTTAGGGCAGGGTCTACAGGGTGTTCAGGGTCTTACTACTAGATCAGACTTGTAGTGATCCACCTGCTTATAGCCTCCCAAGAGCTGGGATTACAGGCACACACCACCATGCCCAGTCTCAGAAAAGTCAGAAGAAAATACCACTCTCAGAGACAAAACAATGAACAAAACCACACTCAGATGTGACACAGATGAAGAACCTCAGAGAATTTTAAAGTAACTACAATAACTATGATTGATATGTTAACTGCTGTATTGGAAAAGGCAGGCAATATACAAGATTGGAAATACAGCACACAGAAGCAAACTATTAAGCTGGTTATGGTGGCGCATGCCTATAATCCCAAACACTCAGGAGGATGATGCATGAGGACTGTTACAATTTTGAGGCCATCCTAGGCTACATGATGAGTTCAAGGCCATCCTGAACTACATAGCAAGTCTCTGTCTCAACAAAAATATGAATTGGAAGATGCAGACAGAATAAACCAAAAGGTGAGTAACACCTCCCACAGGTTCATAAGTACACCTGACACAGCCATGGGAAGAATTAGTAAACCTGAAGACAGGACAACAGAAATTACTCAAGAGTCTGTGTGAGTACACAGAAGTACACAAAGGCAGCCACGGGTACTTGGGGCATTCAGCATCTAGGGAAGAAAATCAGGAAGACCTACTGTCAGACTCTGCTCAGATAGGAAGGTGTTGAGCAGAATTGTTTCTAATTCACAGAGTAATGAGCTAGAAGGAAAGGGAAGGGCTCCTAAGTCAGGGAAAGGAAATGCAGTCTTGAGTTTTCTCCAAACATTTTTTTTTTTTTTGAGATAGGCTTTCACTATGTAGTTCTGGCTGGCCTTGAACTCACTATGTAGGCCCAGCCTGGCCTCAACCTCATGGCAAACCTGAATGTTGAAATTAAAGGTATGTGCCACTGTATCAGGGAGGGAGAGAGGGAGAGGAGAAAAGGAGGGGAGAGGAAAAAAGGAGAGGGGAGGAAGGGAAGGAGTCAGTAAGTCCAGAAAAACTCATAAAATTGATATGGAAGAGTAAAAGGCTAAGGGCCAGCCAGATAGCTCAGCAGATTAAAGTGCCTGCTTAGGCAGACATAGGGGCTGGGTTTCAATCCATCATGTGCCATGCTGGCCCCACCCCCAGGGCGTGCTGAGACAGTGATTGAGACTGGGCATGTTGGTATGCACCTGTAATACCAGCTCTTGGGAGGCTGAAAGCAGGAGAATCAATACAAGTGCCATCTGTGTAGAGACCCTGTACACCCTGAACTTAAAAAAAAAAAAAAGAGTAAAAGCCTAATAGGCAAAGTAGTATCAAATACAAGGAATAGATAATCACAATAGCCGTTAATCAAGATTTATGGGAAAAAAAAAAAAAAGAAATGAATTCCTAATTAAAAAAAAAAAAAGATTTATGGGGCAGAGAAGACTGCTCAGCGGCATAAGCACGTGCACAAGGTCCCAGTTTGACTGTTGGTATGGAAGAAAAAGAAAAGGGAGGGGGAGAGAGAGGTTTTTTTTAAAAATGTATTTGAAACAGGGTCTCACTACACAGCTTAGAATCATAGTGATCCTTCTGTTTTCAGATTCCCCAATGCTGGGACTATAGGAATGCACCACTATGCCTGGTCTTGGCTGGCTCATTGCGCCTGGGGGTGGGGTCAGTGTGGCATGTGGTGCCAGGGATCAAACACCCATCCCTGCACTTGCCTAGGCAGGTGCTTAGTCTACTGAGCTATCTCACTGGCCCAAGAAAGGAGGATTTATCACAAAGCTACAGACATAGGATTGACAAAGTACCAGAATGAAGGGTTTGTGAAATCTAGGTTTGTGATGTATTGGTAGGAAGAGAGGAATTGATCCCCATGAACAAAACTGTGATCATTACTCGAACCAGACTTAAGTAGTGGCTCTCTGGAATTCCAAGGCTGTTTATACCTCTTCACCCCATCACAAAGGACAAGGAGAAAACAGGGCATCCTGCTCTCTGTTTGCCAGGCTTCCAAAATTCAAAGAAACATAACATAGCATTCTGGTGTGTTGGAGGAGGGACAGGGAAAGACCCATAACATCAAAGATTAGGCACAGAAGTCATCCAGTAATGCAGAAAGACAAGGAGAAAGAAAGGACTCACAGAGAGCCAGAGGTCACAGTGTTGCCAGTTGTTGGATCACTATTCCCATTTAACCTCTTAATGTGCCCAAAGCAGGCAGGGCAGGAATTATGGTCTCTAACCAGGAAAGAACTAGCAGCTCAGTGGTCAGCCCCAGGACATGATGGTAGCTAAGATGCAGACTTCAGGGTACTTACTTCTTTTACAAAGAAAGGAGGACTTCTCATAGCAGCTCTCAGCATGCCAGCTGTGCAGGTCGTGATGCCGCAGTGTCGGAAAGTGGAAGCACTGTAGTTGGGCGCAGTACACGTTGTCATTCTCAGACATGGCTGATGCAAAGGTGGGGTCTGGGGGCAGGAACACCTCTGAGGAGCCTGTTGGAGAAGAAGAAGCTAAGGATAGGCAGATGGCCATTCACAGTCCTCAAGATACCATTGTGTCAACAAAACCATCAAACAAACTGCTCATAGCCCGTGAGTGCTGGCGTCAGCTCCAGGAATGAGGCCTGGCTGTGCTCTGACAAACACACAAACAAGTACCACCCAAAGACGACAGTTCTGCACGGTGACTCACTGGAGGTGCCCAAGTTAGAACAACAGCGTAAGCAGTGAACCAATGGATGGTAACACACTGGATTCAAATGGAGAAATTCACACTGATAAATTACACAAATGAACAAACAGGGAAATGTGTAGGGGGAAGTTCTCCCCAACGACAAAAAAGCCAGTAAGAAAAAGAGCACTCAGAAAGTGTCTGCACTGCACTTGTGAGACACATATTCTGGAGATTGCTGGCTAGAGAAAGGATCCCAGCCAGGCATGGTGGTACACATTTGTAATCCCAGCACTCGGGAGGCTGAGGCAGGAAAATCACTGCAAATTTGAAAATCAACCTGGACTACAAAGTGAGCCCAAGCCCAGCCTGAACTGTACAGCGAGACCTTGTCTCAAAACACACCAGACAGACAGAGACAGAGACAAAGAGACAGAGAGACACACAGAGACAGAAACAGACAGACACAGAGAATATCCCAAACAGAGCTCTCACCCGAGCTGAAACCATAAATCACTGCAGCAATAATTGATTCTTCCAGACTTCCCTCCAGGTTGCCCCTCCTCTCAGCCATCTCTACAGGAGATTCAACCCTTAAGAGTAACAAGGTGGTACAAAGCTCCACATTGTCCCCATGCTGTCTGCATGTAAGGAAGGTATGAAGCTCCTCACTCCAAGGAACTCAGAATGCTGCCTAACTTCTTCTGCTGCCATGTCTCTTCCTTCGGTCCACAATGAAAGCCACTCCACTTGCTTGTCTATCCCCTACTCCTTCCCTCAGCCTAGGAGAACGCCCACTCCCCACCTCACCCTGCCAAGCCCTCCACTGCTCCTATAGCAAGGGAATCTTCACTTACTTTTCACAGCTAATGTGCTATTTATCAAAGAAGTAAACCTGGAAAGCTGTAAGACTTTCCTACTATTATTAGCTAATATCTTAGGCACAGTATATTCTCAGGGAAGAGGTTTGCTCATTTCCCCCTCCTGTCTTGCTACCCTCAGCACCCACAGAACCATCTTGCACAAATCCAAAGGGCCATCTGAACCCCAGTTGAGGCCCCAGGATGGCCAATCTGTGGTTACCTCCTTCAGAAAGCAGGGTCTCTGCACTGTACCTTCCAGCAGCTATTAGATCAGTGTGGCCCCTCCCTTCCATTGACCAAGGATTCTAGATACCAGGCTCCAGAGGCAGGTTCATGCCCAAATCTGCCTGCTGACCTCATTGTCAGGGCCCTATAACAGTCAACCTTCCCTATGTAGCCCCAAGACACAGAAGACGACCATAAAAGACCAGTCACATCCTGAAAGATGTCTGAGAGAAAATAAGCCTCCTTTTAAGTTAAATACCTCCTGATTTCAGTACACCTGTGATCTGACTGAGCCTCAGGGATGTGTGCAGGCTTGGAAATAATGTCGGGGAGAAATAGGGCAAAAGCGCTAACGATTTAAAATTTATAAATACAGTGGTACATTACACATTGTTACCATTTTAGTGCTTTAAAATTAACATCAAGAAAAAAATAAAATCAACATCAAGTATGAACAACCAGAAACTGAAGTACACTGCTAGCCCCAAGGATGGGGGCCCTGCCAGTGGCAAGGGAAAATGTGGAGGATTCTATCTAGACAACAGAGATCCACATTTTTTTTATATTTTCCACATGAATTAGCCCCATGTCCACTGGTAACAGCAGCAGCTCAAATCTACAGGGCACACCAAAGCCCAGTGTTGTCAAACGTGTTATACCTTAGCAAACCTAGAAAGCTACAAGACTTTCCTACTATCATTAGGCACAGTATATTCTCAGGGAAGGGTTTGCTCACTGGGTGCTGGCTGTGTTTTCTTTGGATCAACTTCTCAGGCCCTAACCAATCCCTCCACCAACTTTGTACCATGGCAAAGGGTTCCTTTCAGGAGCAGGAGTAGGGCCTGCTGGACCATGCCCTTGTTTTTACTTATAGTCTTTTCACTTTGCTTTTGAGAAAACTTAAATGATGTAAAATTTTTATTTTTTTATTTATTTATTTTTTTTTGTTTTTTCAAAGTTTTATTGATAAACAGATAGCAATGAGACAGTTTCAAATCCAATCGGAAGTACAGTTTCAACAAATAATACACTGCATATATTCTTCTTAGTGGTTAATTGCTGTACACGAAGTGGACTTGTGTAAAATTTTTAAAAATACACAAAAGGGAGAAAGAATACAATGAAACCCTGTGCAGCTACAATGCTGAGCTACATCCTGCTGTTCAGGTAATTCCCCACTGTGTGTGTACCTCCCTGAGCACAACACAGTATCTGGCACCTGCATCCCAGGCCATGTTGCCTAAAATCACATAGCAATGCTATTACATGCCTAAGAAAATGAATAGTCACTATCCACTCTAAGTCTACACTCCCTTTGTTTAACTGCACCCACCTGAGTTTTTATACTCCACTTTTGCAATCTATTCTTTTTTTAAATGTATTTTAGTACCAAGTCTACGGGGTCTCACTACATAGATCTGACTCATAGTGATCCACCTGTGTTCAGCCTGCCAAGAGCTGGGATCACAGGCATACACCACCACGCCCAGTCTCAATAGCCCTCTCAGCACATCCTGTGGGTGGGGTTGGCATGGCAGGCTGGCACTGAACCCTCGTCACTGCGCTCTGCCAAAGTAGGTGCTTTAGTCCACTGAGCTATCTGGCCAGCCCTGCAATCTGTTAAAAAGAAAAAAACCAACTTGCTTTTGGTTTTATGCTTAATTCCTTAGGCTCCAAAACACCTCATGGTACCGGGCTGTATCAAGTATCCTAGGCCACTTCGCTGGTAGAACAATTTTTTTAAAATCATTTTTTACACTGTGTGACCACTACTTAAATCCATTAACAAAATCTTCAAATCCAGACATGAGAGCACAGCTTTCATACAGAGCTGCTGGATGCTCAGGGCACCTGCAGAAGTATAGGGGCTTTTCCTGAATTGTAGATTCACTTTTCTCATGTCCCACAGAACTACTGAGACAAGCATGGTCATTAGAGACCACATGGGCCAACAAAGGCATCTCATACTAGACACAAGGGTCTGAGGCCACAGTTCAGACATGCTGTCACCACGCTGAAATGTCTCTTCTCTTTCAACCTCTCTCTTTAGGAGTTAGAGGTGTTAAACCCTAGGCATTCCTACTGAGTTTAGTCCTCAATCCTTTTATTTTATTTTATTTTAATTTTATGTGTGTGTGTGTGTGTGTGTGGCCAGCTCAGCCCACCAGGGGGCGGGGCTGGCTGGCATGTGGTGCTGGGGGATTGAACCGCGGTCCCTGATGCTTTGCTAAGCTTGTTCTAAGTAGGTGCTTTAGACCACTGAGCCATCTCACCAGCCCAATCCTTTTATTTTTAAGACAAGGTTTTCCTAAATTGCCTAGGCTGTGCCTGAATTTGTTAGCCTCTTGCCTTAGGTTCCCAGAGTGCTGGGATTACAGCCATGTCCCACAATGTCTGGCTTGGATGTCTTCTCTTTAATTATCAGGAATAAGAGGGCCGGGGAGATAGCTCTGTAGAATAAGTGTTTGCCTGGCAAGCGCAAGGGCCTGAGTTCAATCCCCAGTTCCACGAAAAAAAAAAAAAAAAAAGGATTAGGAAGACAACCATGCTCATGAGTGTTGACAATGTTCTAAGCCAGCCTGTGACTGCAGCGTATAAAGATTCAATGCCAACAATTGTGATGAAAGCAAGCAAAAAAACTACTAGGAAAATGATCCTTTATAAGACACTGTGACACTGGGGCCCAGAGAATCAAAAAACATTTATTTGGTAGCTGTTCCTATGTGAAATCTAAGACAACATACATACAAAGTCTGAGAACTCAAATGTAGGTAGTGTTTTCAGTAAGAAATCAGGAGGGTAAAGAAAGAAAGCACATTTATAATCCCAGCACTCAGGAGGTTGAGGTAGGAAGGTCATGGTGAGATCCAGGCCACCCTGGGCTATGTAACGAGTTTGAGGTCAGCCTAGACTGAATGAAACTCTGTCTCAAAACAAACAGAATGGAATGATGTTCTCAGGAGGAGAGGGGCCTGAGAGGCATGGGGGTCTGGTAAGCATGGCGTTCTTTGATGGGCTCTGCAGAACCCACCTCTACTCTCTGCCCATCCCAGCTGCCAGGTACGGCCCTAGAGTCTACAGAGTCCTGCCTCTCTCCAGGGAAGCTGGCTACCTATGGTGCTGACCCTTCTAGCCTTGTTTCCAGGTTCACAACTCCTCATCTGTCCTTATTTCACACAATGAAGATATTATCACTAAGATATGTTTAGGGAACAAGAACCCAGATCTGAGCTCAAACCAGAGGTCCAAGGAGCAACTCAACTGGCAAGGCCTGATGATGAAAAGGATGGGGAATGTGGCAACCAGACTGCACTGGGGGTTAGGGGGCAGAGCACACACCTGGGGAGCAGTTGCTATTAGCAGGGCAATAGGGCAGAAGGGCAGAGATGGGCCAGAGCCAGGACCTTAGCTGCCCAGAGAGGTTTCCTTTTTATTCTTTAGTATTTCCAAACAACTCAGCATGAAATATCTGAAATACCCTCTACACACACACACAGACACACACGCGCGCACACATGTGCGTACATGCAGGCTCATGCTATCTGCCTGACAGTTCAACTTTTGGATCATAACCTTAGACTTCCTTGCCCTAGAAAATTTCTCCTTCGTTCTTTGGCCCATGTGAGCCCACAATGTGTACTTATTTGTATGTCCCAAAGTCTTTGCCTTTATTTAATTTATTTATTTACTTTGTGGCCAGCTCAGCCTAAAACTATGTATCTATGATGTTTTGATATATGTATACAATGCATGTTTAAAACAATCTTTTAAACATTTATCGGGGCCGGGGAGATAGCTCAGTAGAATAAGCGCTTGCCTGGCAAGCACAAGGGCCTGAGTTCAATCCCCGGTTCCACCAAAAAGCCCCCAAAAAACAAAAAAAAACACCATTTATCATTTCTTTGTGGTGAAGACAGTTCTTTTGTAAATATAAGAAGCAAGATATGTATGCACACCTGTAATTTCAGCACTCGGGAGGCTGAGGAAGGAGGATCACTGAGTTTGAGGCCAGCCTAAGGCTACATAGTGAGCTCAAGGCCAGTCTGAATTACATAGTGAGACCCTGTCTCAAAAACCCCCAAATAAGTAGACATATCATGTGTAGGTACTAATTCCCTATGATGAATGTTATCATTATATGTATCTAAAATGTACCTATTTTTTAAAGGAAATGTATAGAACGTACTGTTACCCAGAGCCACCTCACTGTACAATTGTACATCAGAGCATCTTACTCCAATTTAAGTGTAATTTAGTATCCATTTATCAATCTTCCCCCAACCCCCAACCCCTTACTCTCCCTGGGTAAAGAGGCTAACAGTCTAGAGACCTCACCATGGTGAGAACAATGAGTTCCAGAGAAGGCCCGGCCCCCCAGGGGGACTGACTCATGTAAATGCGGCTGTGCACTCAGAGTCACGTCCTCTCCATAGTCCCTGAACTGGGTGGCTCTAGAGGCAGGCACAACTACTAGAGAGGAGAGGAAACTCCCAAAATATTCTGAGTCAGGATGACTTTCCTAATTTCAAACTTAACCAGAAACACTTACCTTTGAATGCCACCTCCCATCGACCCTCTAAGGAGGGGTTCCGGGCAGTAACAACATACTGATAGCCAACCCACAGCCTGTAGGGGTCAGAAACAGAAATCACATCATCAGAAGGAAGCAACTATCAATGACTGTGCAGGTGTTTTACTTTTTTATTTTTGTAATGCTGAGGATTGAAACCAGGGCCTTGTGCATGCTAGACAAATGCACTGCCACTTAGCATTGGTATTAAGCATTCATTCTGCTGACTTCTAAAACACTGAACTACAACACAAGCAATTTATGTTTTAATATTTAACAAAATGCATTAAAATTCGAAACAGTAAATTCATAGGTCATAAAAGGTTTTACCTCATGGTACCCCAACCAACCTCCTCCTTTGCTTATCTGATAAAACTTTCCCATTTGAAGCCAGATTAATCGTATTCTTGGTGGAAATAAAGCTCCAGAAACATGCATGCTGAATGCTAAATCCTAACATACTTCAGTATGTTCTGAAGTGTTATGACATGAGAGTCACATCTCAATAAAAACACAAAGCCCTGTGAATATATGTACTGCCAAACTGGATACAGACATGTGCACAGCTTCCCCTAGAGCTGACTGCCTCAGCTCTCCAGCCCCTGCGCTAGAGACCCAGCAGCTCACCCAGCTGCCTTGGTGGTAGCCTTGTGCCTGCCCCTCTGCCCTGGGCTGAGCTGTGCACCTACGGCTGCCCAGGGAGATGCTCTCCCAACCCTCCAATTGATGACCTCTTCCCTTCTGCTGGGCTTCCAGGCCATTTCTTTTGTAGGGGTAGTAAGAGTAGAGAGTTATTTTTCTCATTTTGCAGCTATAAAAGGAGAAACAGTTTTGCCTTATGATTTGCCAGTATCATATGACAAATAATTATGGGGCTGAACTCACCTCTAATGTTGAAATGAACACCCTGTGTCCACCTATTATCAGGTTATCATGCCCTCATGATAGGATGGCAGCTACGCCCTTGTGAGGAACAAGTAACCCCAAGGGAGCAACAAGCCATCTTTGGGACTCTAAAGAGCTATTTCCCCCTCTAGAAAAGGCTGCCCTGTTTTTTAAGATAAGGTCTCACTGTGTAGTTCAGGTTGACCTTAAACTCACCATGTAGCCCATGTTGGCCTCAAACTCATGGCCACACCCAGCCAAGACTGCCATGTTCTATCTCACACTCCTAGCAATGTGGACAGGATAATGTGATACAACCAGAGATGGCACACTGTGTCTCTGCACATGCCTGTCCCCAAATAAACACCCTTCTCCCCTCACCCCCACCCCCCTCCCTGGGGGATGCAGAGCCTGGGAGATATGTAGTTAGTTACTAATGTATACTCTTCCTCCTTGATGTGAAGAGCCAGGAGGTAAAGAGCCAGGTCTGGGCAGACTACTTGGGCTAAAATCCAATTATGTGCCCAGTAGTACATGTTCAGTCACACATGTGCCGGTATGGGCCCCAAACTGAGTGAGCAGACTCACAGGAAGCACTGAGCATAGAGCTGCCAGTTTCTTTCTTACAAGGAATGCCTGCCTAGCTGTGCACCTCTCACACCAGGCCCACGAAGCCCCTCACTAAGCAGTTCCTTGGGACACAGGCTGGGGCATCCTGGCTGCATGCACAACTGCTTCCGTGTTGTCCTCACAAAGGGGACCAAGGGAAGGGGCAGGTCCTAATTCCGCAAGGCAGGGACAGGGCCCAATTGTTCTTGCCCCATCACAAGCTCCCACCTCCATTTTGATGCACATGCTCAGTGTCTTGTGCTCCTTCTGCTTCTAGTGGGCAGGAGTCTGTGCTCCCCAGTGCTGGATGGCAGCTATGCCTTCTTAGGGGTAGCCAGACCCTGTGTGCACAGCAGTCCTCAGACCTCCACACCCACAACTTACTTGCGCTGGTCCTTCCAACCAAATGGGACCAGTTCGGGCTGATCCCATTCTTGGGCCAGGACAAAGCGCAGCTCCTGGTCAGTAGAGAAGGTGGCAAGGGAGCCATTCACACGCTGGCAGGTCTGTGCAGCATCCCAGTAGTTCTCCCCACTCAGGTAGACCCGGTAACAGCTGGCTTCATAGTGGTGCCATCCTGTTGGGCACTTCCCTAGGAAACATGAAGGATAAAAGGGGTGTTGTCCCCTAAGTTAGGATCCGAACTCCAAAATCAAAATTCTAGGGGCTAGGGATTTAGCTTAGTGGTAGAACACTTGCCTAGCAAGCTTGAAGCCCTGGCTTCCGTCCTCAGTATCAAACACAATAAACCTCACCTAGAGAAACAATTTCAAAAAAAAAAAAAAGAAAAGAAACAATTCCAGGGGCCAGGGAGATAGCCAGTAGAATAAGCGCTTGCCTGGCAAGTGCAAAGGTCTGAGTTCAATCCCCAGTTCCGGAAAAAAAACCAAACAAACAAACAAACAAATAAAAAACTCTGTGTGCTGCACGGGGTACAGACCTGCCTCAAAAATCACCCTAGAGGGGCTGGTGAGATGGCTCAGTGGTCTAAAGCACCTACTTAGAACAAGCTCAGCAAAGCACAGGGACCGCAGTTCGATCCCCCAGCACCACATGCCAGCCAGCCCCGCCCCCTGGTGGGCTGAGCTGGCCACACACACACACACACACACACACACACATAAATAAATAAAATTAAAAAAAAAATCACCCTAGAAAGCTGGGCACTGTGGCATCTCTATAATCCCAGCACTCACAAAGCCGAGGTAGTAGGGTCATAAGTCTGAGATCAGCCTGGGCTAAACAGTGAGACCCTGTCTCAAAGAAACCAAGAAATCAGCTCAGAGAAACAGAAACTGAAGCTCAAAAGGACAAGCTATGCTTCTTGGATCACATACTTTGTAGAAACAAGTTTTCTCTAAAATGCAAATTTAATCTATAATATAATATTTTGTGATTCCTCCCAATTTCTAAACAGGCCTTTTAATTTTTGTGGTTGTCAAGAGTAGCTGCTGAATGAAAATTTTTGTAGGTCAAATCTCATTCTCTGATTCAAGTCTGTTACCAAGGCAATAGACTATGAGACCTTGTGGGAGAAGGGGTAGCTAGGGAGAATCTCTGATGCCTAATTACCCCAGCCTCTTGCTGGTAGGCCACTGGTTCCTGAGCCACATCTCTGTCCCTTTTCTGTTCACATGAATGGTGGCCAGCACTTCCTTAAAAGAAAAGAAAAAAAAAAACACCCCAGAGGATCACGAGGTTGTGGGACCAACCCCAGCCTCCTACAGATAAGGATGGCTGGACACTGTCTCAGCTCATGAAGCTAAGGAACCAGTCAGAATTCTGCATCCCCGAAACCAACCAGCATCTTCTCAGTTTTTCAAGACTGTCAAGGGGCCAGGGAGATGGCTCAGTGGAATAAGTGCTTGTCTGGCAAGCGCAAGGGCCCGAGTTCTGCCAAAAAAAAAAAAAAAAAAAAAAAAAAGGACTGTCAAGCTGCCCCTCAAGCATGGGAAGGTACTTTACAGCTGGCTCAAAATGCTTTGTAGGGGCTGGTGAGATGGCACCTACTTAGAACAAGCTTAGCAAAGCATAGGGACCTCGGTTCAATCCCCCAGCACCACATGCCAGCCAGCCCCGCCCCCTGGTGGGCTGAGCTGGCCACACACACACACACACACACACACACACTTACATACATACATACATAAATAAATAAAAAATACTTTTAAAAAATGCTTTGTAGAATCTGTAATCTTCAAATGTTAAGTACTTTTTACCAGTAAAATGAAAAGTAACAATTTCAATAAAATTACATTTATGAGGGGCTTTGTTTTTCTTTTAGTTCTGCAGACTAAGCTCCTGCCTTGCATAGATTAAGCATCTGTTCTATATATCAAGCTACATCTCCAGGCCAGGGGGAACAATTTTTACTCAAAGCTATAGGAAGGAAGTGAGTGATGTCTCACCTCTAACCCTGTGAGACACGGCAACAGCACTGTTTGCAAGGACAGAAAGCTGGAGAGCATGACCTGCCTACTGCTGGGGTCCATGTTAGTACATCTGAGTGCAAAGGAACAAATAAGGAACCTGAGCACACTCTAAGCAGGCAGTTCTACTTATCTCCACGTGAGAGGCCAGGACACCAAGGCATGGAAAAATGGAGCAACTCTGGAGCCAGCACCAGGACCAGCTAGGCGTCCGTAAGAGCACACTCTGGAGAGGGAAACCAACTGGCGAGGGCGATGGAGAAAGGAAGGGTTCCTTTTTTATGGAAGTCATTAAAAATTACAATCTACAGCCACAACACTCTGAGCACACCTGATCTCCTCTGAAAATTACAGTGAAATTCTTAAAATTTATTACAGTAAAAGACAAAATTGCCATTAATCCTCCTCAAGACACTCCCCTTTGCCACATCCCATTTTGCCACTTTCTGAAGCAGTTCTAGAAATTCTCTTTCACGATTATCTTTAGAGGGTGTGATTAAAAAAAAATACAGTGAAAAAAAAAATACGCTGAATGCAACTGCCAAATGCCATCCAACAAGAAGACAGACCTGTAAAAACATTACAGTATGTTTTCATCTGCTCACCAGATCTGCCACCATCTGACTTCTGACTCTTCCTCAAAATCAAAATGACCATAAAAGGTAAACATTTTGAACTGATTCAGGACATCAAAATAGCCATAACAGCTCAATTACGACTCAAAAAGGGATACATACATTCAAAGTGAGGGAGAATATCTTCAGGAGGATTGATGACATGTCTTTTGCTCTAATAAACTTAAAATCTGGACATACAACATTTCTCAAATCATATCACTATTACCTTATAGGAAGTACTACATGCTCAATAAAATCTAAGCACCAGAAAGAGCATGGAGCTGAGCATCAAGATCCCATGGTGCTGTATCCTGGCACTTTCTCTTCAGCTATGTGAGCCTGGACAGGCTGACTTTTCAGTCTCCATTTCCTCCTATGCCAAATGTGTGCAACACCTTTCAACCATAAATATCCCTGAGGAGCTCACTGCTACTGTGTGAAAGAACTGGGCAAAGTGTCAGGACTTAGAGGTTGGCTGGCCCATGCCACTCATTGCTAGCTCAGTTTTTATCAGGAAATTTCACCAGAGAGTTTAGCCCCATGTTGAATGGAAGCTCTGAGTGGCACTGGAGGCCCTGCAGGGAAAGTGATTTCCCAAGGTTTCCTCACCACTGACAGTCCTAGGCTTGGACAAAGCCACTGCAGCTTGGGGGCCCAGCCCATGTCTCCTGTCAGCAGTCAGCGCAGGCTGGTGCTGTGAGGTGTCACTAAAGCACTCCTCAGTGCTGAGTGTGTAGGCTGAGTATGAACAGCAAACAGGTCCTATGCTCTCCAACAGGAACATCACAGTGTTACTTCTTGCCCCAGCTACAGGTGCTCATTATTGAACCTAACACAACATCACCTGAGCATATCTATGGGACAAAATACTTCAACTGTGATTTTCCTCCTCTCAGCCTTTCTTCACATTACGTTCCTTTAAGTAACTCAGTGTCATGGGTAATTCATTATATTATATATACACATATATGTACACACACACAATCATACTACATACTACTAAGGGTAGAAGGGCCACACACAGGACATGGCAGCAGAGACCATTCACTCTCCAGAACTTTTCCATAAAAATTTAGAATAGAATACACCAGAATAACCATTCCCATACATTTCAAATGGGTTAAATGTGCTTGTTAGAATTAGACCTTAGCAGTCTTCATTCTTACATTGCTATTATGAAAGGGGGCTTCATTGTATTTTCTAGGAAGCCCCTCTGAGGGCTAGCCATGTATGTATTTTGGGTGGTGATGCAATGGCAAACAGAAATATGAAAAAAATACCTGGGATTGGGAGACAGATTTATTTACATCGAGAGGAACTGACTGGGATCATTCCCAGACCACCAGGTCCTGATCTCTGGTGGTCTAGAACTTATACAGGATAGCAACCAGGAAGTACAGAGGCAGAATGGCTTCTCAATTGGGGACTTTATACAAATGCAGCACACTGACCAGCCATTTCTATATATTTGGTACAGGGTCTCATTATGCAGCTCAGATTTGTTGTGATCCTCCTGTTTGCAGCCTCCCCAGCACTGGGATCATAGGTGTGCGCCACCACGCCCAGTCTCAGGAGCCAGCTCAGTGGCCTGGGGGTGGGGCCAGCACAGCATGTGATGCCAGTGAGACCAGCCATTTCTAAAACAGAAGCAACCAGGACTGGAACCTGGGCAAATAAAACTGAAGTATGCTGGTGTGTGTGTGAAGGGCATTTCTGTTACAGTATTAAGGTTTAAGCGCAGCCTTACAGTGAGCTACATCCTCGGCCCTTTTCTTTTAGTTGTTGTTTTAGTCTAAGATAGGGTCTTGGTAAATAGCCCAGGCTTAAGTTTATGATTTTCTTGCCTTAGCCTCCAAAGCTGCTCAGACTGCAGGCATAAGCCACTGCAACTAGCTTCATTTTATTTCTATTATTATTAACTCTTTCGGTCTTGCTACATTGCGCATGCTGGCCTCAAACTGCTGGACTCAAGCAATCCCCCTGCCTCAGATTCCTCAGTAGCTAAAACTGTAGGTATGTGCCATAAAGTCTCACCAAACTAACCAACTGCTTTAAAAAGTAAACAGATAAAGGCTTCCTCAGCCAGTGCTGTATTTAAATTCTCAGAGCCTGCTTTCCTATCTATAAAAAGGAACAACCTTGGAATATTTTGCTGAGTTCACACACCTATAATATTTAAATGATGGAACTAAACAAAAAAGGGGATATAGATGAATGACCATTTTGTATCTGTATATTCAAAATGGCTAGGATAGATATATAGCTACGTTCTCTTAATTCAAGGAATAGAGGGATTTGTTCTAATAGTGTTTGTAAATAGGGTCTCATGTCTGCATCTTGTACAACAAACAACCACTAGGAAGGCAGTATGCAATGTGTTAATTACTGGAACTGTCCTACCAATTCAATTTGCAACTGTCTCATTGCTATTTATTTCTCAATAAAATTATGGGGGGGGGGGAGAGGAACAACTTAAGTATGGGATTTCCCAGTCAGTGCTGTCCAGCCCTATTCTGGCTGTGCTTTGAAATCAAGCAGCCTGGCTTTGGAGCCTAAATGGGAGCCTCAGGAGCCAGAAAGAGGGTATCATGCAGTCTTTCATCCTCAGGAGCCAGAAGGAGGGTATCATGCAGTCTTTTTCTGGGCCTCTGACCATCTTCAAGGCTGCTTTAGGACATAAGCCTTCCCAAATCATAGCAGAGAGGCACTGGGAAAGCTGGGAGTCAACTCTTGGGCTTCAATCTCAAGTTGGGTGGGCTTCCCTCTGGTTGGGGTCCCAGTCAGAACAGGTCTGCAACTTACTGCTGAAGCGGACAGGCTGCGCCACATTCACTGCATGGAAGTGCGTAGGGTCACCCCCTCTGGCTCTTCCCTGTCGCAGGTCCACAGACTCCTTCCCATGGTAAGGCCGTGACTCCCTGGTTACTTCTGAAAGCAAAAGGAGAAATATGTTGTAAGCCTGACCAGTACAGCAGTGACAAAGCAACTACGGGGCTTCTTCAGCTACTGCCTAGCTGAATGGCAGCATGGGTCACACTACTTAGGGGAGAAGGGCCACATACAAGAATGGCAACAGAGTTCTCTTACTCTCTGAAACTTTTCCTTGGAACTCTAGAATAAACATTGCCATACAGTTCAAATAGGTCATGTGTGCTGGTTAGGATTACACCTTGGCAGTCTTCACTACTACACTGCTACTAAGACAAGACTTTACCGCATTTTCCAGTGAGTATTGCTACACAGCAAAGAGTCAGCCATTCCTTTTTAAAAGCCTTCTGCAGTGTTATTCCCCACAGGGATCCTAGGAAAAGGGGCTCTTTCTAGATCTCAAGCTGCCTTTGACCCACCCTCACTGGTGTGATAGTCCCCACATTAAGGTGAGGGAGAGACTAGACATGTTTCCCTCACCACTCATCACTGGAACTGAGATGCCTCATCACTGGAACTGAGCTGCCTGTCTACCTCTGGCCAGCCTTGAGATGGTACCTTAAAGGTATAAAAAGAGTCTCCAGGTCAAGCTTTAGGATGCTTCTGTCTCACTCTCTGATGCTTGGCATGGGCCATGGGTTGCAGCAGGCCCTGATGCAAGGCTAGAAGGTGTGGACAGGAAGCTGAGCACAAGGGGAAGCATTCCAGTTTTATGTCACACAATCTAATAATAATTCATAGGTTGGTCCTCCCATACCCTTTCCTGGAGCCCTCCAATCTCACTGTGAGAGCCAAGAACCACTCTTCTCTCATGTCTTGGGTGAGCAGACTCAGAGAAGATAATTTCCCCAAGGCCATGAAGCAGAGAGCCAGAGGCAACATCCCTCCTGGGCCCACTACTTGCCATCCCAACTGCACAGATGTGCTGTGATGCACAATGAAGGGCACCTGAGGCAAAGTCTAGTCAGATGGGCAACAAATATAATCTGCATGGCTGCACACAGAAAGACAAGCTTCCTGCCAGCAGGTACATTTTAGCTGTGGACAACTTCTCTCAGGCCAGGTACATAGGATTCTAGAAGCTGCAAGGGTTGACCTCTTACAAACCTACCTTTCCTGACTCGAGAGCTGGCAACCAGCCCTTTGCCAAAGCTTCTTTTGCCATTAGGTTCTGCTAGGAGCAGACTCTAATGCTGCTTTTATTTAATAATATTTTCCTTCATTATAAAATAATAAATATTTAATGTAAAATACGTAAAAACTAAAAATTTAAAAAGATAAAATGTATAAACTTACATTAGGCTCACTCCTAGAGGAGGCTCACTCCTCTAGTCTCTTTTTTTCTTAGACAAACTTAGAAATACTGAGATCAAGATTGAGTTGAGCACTTGCTCGGCATGCTTGGGCCCCTGGGTTCTACCCCTGGGACCTCCACCTCCTACAGGAAAAGATACATGGAAGAAAAAAAAGGAATCACACCAAACGTTTTTGTTTTGGTTGGTTTGGTTTTATAATACTGCGATGAAATCCTAGGCCTTGTACATGCCAGGCAAGCACTCTATCACTGAGCTATAGCCCCTGCCACCCCCACCCCCACTCCCACTATTTTATGATTTTCTAAGCTTACAACTAAAAACAGCTTCCACATTGCTAAATGGGCTTAAGAACGCTGCTTTTGTGGCTGTGCCATACTCCACGAAAAAAGCAATTACCATTGAATCTTGTGCACTGTTCTACAAAAGCTACACAGGTTGAATTGAACTATATGTAAAAATCACTGTGTTCCTTACTATACTTCTCAGAGACCCTTTGCAAGTCATAGAAGCTTTGCTTCCTTCCCTCATTAAATTTTCATTCTTCAAGAGTGGTCCAAAAAAAAAAAAGAGTGGTCCATAGCTCCTCTACGCATGTAATCAGGTCTGACGACTGATTAGAAATTTCTCTAAAATACATAATATGCTGGGGTTGATATTCTACTGAGATGGCTCAATAGAATAAGTGCTTGCCTGGCAAGCGCAAGGGCCTGCGTTCAATCCTGGGTCCTTTTTTTTTTTTTCAGTTATTTTTTTTTAAATTAATTTATTCATTTTGCGTGTGTGTGTGTGTGTGTGTGTGTGTGTGTGGCCAGCTCAGCCTACCAGGGGGCGGGGCTGGCTGGCATGTGGTGCTGGGGGATTGAACTGAGGTCCCTGTGCTTTGCTAAGCTTGTTCTAAGTAGGTGCTTTAGACCACTGAGCCATCTCACCAGCCCCATCAATCCCAGGTTCTGCCAAAAAAAAACAAAAACAAAAATGAGCTAACCATGTCTGCGATAATCTTAGCACAAAGTGACGATCTCAAAGCAGAAAGTATCTTCATGACTTGGGTAAAGGGCAAAGTCAAGGACATGTGGGACAAGCCTGGGGTCAAGCTTAAGTGTGGCTAAAACATGTTTCACTTCACTTAAATTTTATCCACTGTCTGTTTAAACAAGCAAGGCCTGTGATTGCACTTTGTATCTTGGCCTTTCCCCCAAACTACATCCAGTACTTGGTAAACTGCTCACAAAAAGAATCTAAGGCAAGGGGTGAATGTAGGGAGCCACTCAGACTGCTTCAAAGCTCAGGAGCCTCCAAGGATACCTCAAGGTGTAACCCTGCTTGTCTAGCACTGGTGCACAGTGGGATACAGTTAGGTAACCATGACTTAGCACAGGTAAACACGTATGCGCTTATTATAGTATATATAAGAATGTAAACATGAGACAACAACCTGTACAAGAATTACACAATGAAGATGCAGGCAGCTCTCATTTCTCTACTTGGCTCTATGCTGTCTGTTATTGTTGTTCAAGTCTTGCATACACGTGCTCTTCAACCTTGGGACCTCAGACATGAAAATCTCTCTTGGTGGCAGGGTATGTAGCTCAGCAACACAGCATGAGTTTGGCAAGTGCAAGGTCCCGAGTTCAATTCCCAGCACCAAAAAATCAGTCAGTCAGTCAGTCAATCAATCAATCAAAATTTCCCTTGGCCTCCACAAAAGGGCCAACAGAGGGAAAGAGGCTAAGTAAAAGGTCACAGACTGCTGCCTGAATCTTGAAGACCAGGTGTACAGATGTTGGTGAATGAAGCCATCTGTAGCCTGGGGGTGAAGAAAGAGTGAGATATTTAGGGTGAATAACCAGAAAGCCAAAAGGTGACAAAACTCTTTTATGCTGAGCAGGCTTCTCTGAGGCTCAGGTGGTGAGCCGCTTTTTTTTTTTTTTTTTTTTTGTATTTAGGACAGGGTCTCACTATGTAGATCGGACTCATGGTGATTCTCCTATTTACAGCTTCCCAAGTGCTGGGATTACAGGCATGCTACCACGCCCAGTCTCAGTCAAGGGTATTGAACCTGGGCCACCGTGCTCTGCCCAAGCAGGTGCTTTAGTCCGCTGAGCTATCAGGCCAGCCCAGGGTTTTTTTGTTTTGTTTTGTTTTGTTTTTTCAAGACAAGGTCTTGCTATGCAGTTCAGCCAGCCTTGAGCTCACTTTTTGTAGCCCCTAGCCCAGGAACTCACAGTGATCCTCCTGTCTCAACTTCCCAAGTGCTGGGATTATAGGAGGGAGCCATCATGCCTGGTAAGCCTCTCCTTTTAACTGTTTCTTTTCACATCCAAATATTCATATTCATTTCCTCAGTCACTTGTTTATAAGACCCCTACCAAGGAAACTCACCAGCTGTAACATAGCCAACAAAAAGGGGAAGGTGCTTGCAGTAAAAGGCTCAAGTCAACAACTTCTGACATTGCCAGTCTTACGGAAAACCCACTATTATTATGGACCACTGGACTATTGGACTATTTCGCTGAATTCACACACCTACAATATTTACATGACAATGGAATACGCTTCTCTGACAAAACTAAACAAGAAAAGGGGATACAATGAACGACCATTTTGTATCTGTATATTCAAAATATGACAGATATACAGCTACTTTCTTAATTCAATGAATAGAAAGATTTGTTCTAATAGTGTTTGTGGACAAGATATCATGTCTGCATCTTGTACAATGAATAATCACTAAGACAACAATATGCAACATATTAATTATTGAAACTGTCCTACTTATCAGTTTTGAAACTCTCGTTTCTCAATAAAATTATTTTTTTTTTAAAAGGGGGGAAGGTGGTCATGCTGATGATAGTTAAATAAAAGACTCTCTCTAGGGAAAGCTTGGGAATGGACAAAGCACAGGATTAGCAACCTTTCAGACTTCTTAGGACCACCTGTGACAACACTTCCCTCTTCCCTAAGAGCCTGCTCACAGGTGTGCAGTTGGACACAAAGCCTGCTTTTCTCTAGTCAGGTGACTTGCATGTGACCTGCCCTAGAGTGCTGGCCTCATGACAAAAAACACCCCAAACCAATTCTCTTCTTCCTTTTCCCTGTAACTTCCAGGTACCATCTGAGACACAGGAAACAAACCAGTGAACACAGAGCAGATCAACCAGTGCCCTTCAGCGAAAGGTCATGCTCTCCTTGGTCTGCCTTTTCCACCTAGCAAGTAGACAGGGTTCCTGTGATGGATAGGATGACTTCCCACTTGCAAATCCAGGGCTGCCTCTGACATCTTCAAAAGCAAAAGAGGTGGTTCCTGGGGTCCCACTGGCAGGGTGCTCTTTGGTGCTTTCAAAAACAGCTTTTCTCTCTTTAGATGTCCTCATTAAGAGAGCAGCTAAGCTACCAAAGACAGAAAAGGAGCCTAGAAAGGGGCACCTGAAGCAACATGTAGCTGACCTGACACTGAAAATGGGAAGGCAAAGGAGCAAGCTTAGTGGTGTCAGGATCCACACTCCAGAGCAGACATGGGGCCTAAGGCCAACAAGCTCAGGGCCTGGGCTTCCCCACCTAACAGCCTGGACTGGCTTGGCCCCCTAACCTGGTCCATCTTGGGGCCTCGTGACCTTCCTCCCCAAAAGAAAACCTCAGAGTGGGAGCCAGGGTGTCAGACCAACTGAAGTCCAGCAAGGAAAA